ATACATGCATATTACAAAATAATTCTTTTATATCTTCTTTATAATTGTCACAGGCCAGATTTACATTCTTAAACTTTCTAGGCATCTGACAAGAAAATACAACAAAAAATTGAAAAGGTAGCGTTTTAGTTTGGAATGCATTTTGATGTTTGAAATGCTTGTATCCAGCTAACTGATTCACTGGATGTTGTTTACAAGGAGGTTTGGACTTGCACATTGCGTAATGGAAAAAGCTGTTCAATTCTTTCCAGAGTATTGGGTCAGTTTGATTAAATTGCTCAGAAAATACTGTAGTTGGAGAATTCTCAACATGGCCCTGGTGTGGCCACAAAGGCATATTGACTGTGCTACAGGGGTTGGTTCTTGCAGTGTGATTCTTCAATGTTTTAAAAATGGAATTTGATCTCATCTGCTCAGGCAGAGCCAAGCTACAGGCACTGTCAGGGGATTAATGTTTATGACTCAGTTTCTCAAGGTGAGTTTTCCTTGGGGGCCCTAAAACAATAATTTAAAATATAAAAAATTAAACCTTATTTTGCTTGTGCTTGCTCTTGTAATTGTACTGCACCAAGTTAGTGAGTGACTTCACATCTGTAGGGGAATAACAGATACTTGAAGGTAAAGTTAAGTCAAAATGACATCTTTGAAGTTTGTTTCTAGTAGTGATAATAGACATTATTTTGATATATTTAAGGCAAATTTCCTATGGAAATGGATCTCATGCATGCTTGCTGTGCATCTGTCTGCCAGCCTACTTCATCAATATCTCTCTCTTCCTCTTCAGGAGTTTTAACCCTTTCTGTTGAATTTGTTGTGGTGGGAGAGAGAAATGGCAAAACTATAGAAGGTCTGTGAAAAATATACATTTACTTAGGAAAGATAAATCTAGATAAAGTGCCACTGCTGCAAGAGAGGCTGTAACGTGAATTGAACTGTTACCAGGATAGATGGGCTTGGCAATGCGCATCTGTATATAAGCCAACTAAGAAATATCTTCGGAGATCACAATCTGACAAGCACAGGCTGCCTCTTGCCCAGCCCATAATTAAGGAATGTGGCAAAGTACTATAGAAGGGACTAGAGAACCCAGATAATTCCTGAAGCTGTGGCAGCAGCAGGGAGCGTAAAGGATGGAGGACACAACTCAGAAATCCAGGCTTCATCCTTCATCTGCAGGATTAATTTGGTGGGAGGAGGAGGGGAATGAAAATGTTGCCAACTCACTGTTTTTATTTAAGAATGTGGTTCTGGTCTTAGAACAGCCTCTTAAACAGAGAAATATAAAGATAAGTGCTTTCCACTGTTCTGCAAGTTCAGGTGTAGCCTCTTTTATTTCAAATGTGTTTTGTGCCTCAGGGAAATTTATATGGTTGGTCAGTGCCATGTTTTATTGTCTCTTCCAAAACAGCTGGAGCTTTACCGCTTGCTTTGTTTATTTTCTTCTCTGTTCATTTTGTCAATGTGATCAGTACTGCCATTTTAAAAAGAAATGTATCAGTTGCTTTCTGTTTTTCAGTTTTTAAGATTGAAGCTCTTAGTCCTGCTAAGGATCTGTATCTACATTTGGAAGTTACTTGGCACTGTAGTGCCATAAGGCTCAAGGTTATAAAAGTTAGCATACTTGTTGCTGTACGCAAACATTTTTTTTCCTAGTTTGGGCTGGTCTGTATGTCAAGTGTTTACATTCATGAATAATATTACAAAATCACTATCTGCGTTAATCTTTGGAGGATCTGATATTATGCTTTTGAAATCAATGAAAAGCCTGTTTTGATGCATACAGCATTTTAAAAGTCCTTTAATCAAGATCTTAAAAGTTAAACATCTTAGACTTTTTTTTCTTAACGGTCTGAATATTGTTAAGTCTTGAATTCTGAATTTTGTTATCAACGAGACTGTATGACTGAAGGCAAATTATTTAACTTCATTCTGCCTTCAAGCTTACTTTTAAAAAAAGTTACCCAGTGTTTTATTGTGTCAAGAGTTTTAGTATTAATATATTTCAAGTGATTTTTGAACCATAAGTCCTCATTCAAATCAATACAGAACTACCTTATGATGAATTTATTTCTTCAAAAAAATAATGCTAGTAAATGATTTATTACACATTACAAAGAGAAACAATACTTTATTAAAAAGAAGAGAAGGTCAAAGGCTACAGAGAATATCTTTGTGCCTTAAGTATGGTACTGGAGATCTGGCCAAAGTCAAATTAGGTAAGTTTTGTATACCTTTGGAACAGATACAATAACAAGTTTAAGGAGATCTGTTTGGCTAATAAGTTACAGTTTTGTTCTGTTATGTGATACACCTTTACACCAGAGACTCTGCAACCAGTACATTTTTCTGTTTTGTTAGGTGATCTGGGTAATACAACCCAAATCAAAACAAAGATTGATTTTTTTTTTTTAAGGGAATTAAATGTCTCCTTTATTTCTGTAAATAAATAAAAGGCTTTATGCACAGATTAATTGCATTTACTGAAATCTGGAGTGCTCTGGACTATTGTGCTTTCTCTGAATTTGTCTATGTTTAAGGAAGACCAGAGTGTGACCAGTGGAAAAATATTGTAGGGTTGCAGTTTGCTCCTGCATTCTTTTACACCCTGCGTTCATTACCAAAATAAGCAGGAATAATTGAATATAAGGAAGATAATATTTAAAAAAAATCGATATCACATTTCAGAAATAGACCTCAGAAATCTCAGGTATAAAGCAGCACTCGGTATACTGCATGGTGCATATTGAATTATTAACTCCCAGTTTGATTATGGAGTTACCAGGTATGTGAATTTATTTAACTCCTGTGTGTTTTAAATATGTAATGGTTACAGAATTATCCATGAGAAACATTTTGGTATTTCATGGAAAATATGAAATACAGTTCTTCTAAGAAGTAATTCTGATTTTAGGTTGTTTCTTAATACATCCCTTACAGGATCGAAATACGAAATTAACTTATTGTTGCATAACGCTTTATTCTCCATCAGGGGGAATAATTGTTTCCATAGGTGAGCGAAATGTTGCTTGGATATTATCCAGCACAAATCTTTCTCCTTTAAGCTCACCAAAGGTTTTGGAAGAGCGCTTTGTGGTAAATTTACAGTTTTAGAATCATAGACACATACTTAAAATGAAAGTGTTTGTGCCAAGGTGGATTAATTTAAATTAAATATTAGATTTTTATCATATTTTAAATAGGCAAGTAAGGATTGTGGTTTTAAGGTTTCAGTTTTTACTGTAATTTTACATTAATATACCTTAAGTATTTTCCTGGAAGGAAGAAAAAATATCTCATGCTCACTTGCAACAAAGTAGGGTAGTGTGTTTGCCTGAGGTTTGGTGATTCTGATTGCCAGGCAGAGGGTTACAAAAATGTGTGTATATGTTACACAGATGAATTTTTATTTTTCAGTTTCCATCCCACATTTTGGTAAGCTGGGAGATGGTGCATGGCAGTGTTCTGCAGTGTATTGGTTGGGGCACTCATGGGAGGTGCGTTGTGGTCCTGACAGTGCCATGAATTGTGGGTTGTCCTCTGCACAGAGCTGGAGGTTTGAGATGAACCAGGAAAGGTGGCCCTCCTCACGGGGCCTTTGGTTGCAGGGGCAGTCTCTTGGGAAATGCAACTGGAGCTTTGCTCGATTGTATGTACTTCTTGATGAGTTTTAACATAGTTTAACAAACTGTTTTGCAGCCTGCTCCATTTTAAATCCTTTTGTGGACAACAAGTCAGGGACATGAGACAGAAGAAAGAATTTTGGTATGAAGATCTATTTCTGAAAGAAATACTTTAGAAGGAGGGGAGATGTGTGGCTTGGCAGACAACGAGTTCATGCTATTTAAGGATTAGAGGTCAGAGTAGTCAAAAGCACAAAGAGAAGAGTGTGACAGGAAGAACACCGTGGCAAAAATAGTTGTAAAGAACGTGGAGGACTGGTAGGGAGACCAAATTTGTTCCTCTTGTTATCTTCTGTGATCTGGCGCCAGAGAGGCTGCTGTTAAATTCAATGTTTATGTGAAATAACATTTCTTGATTAATACATTAGAAAATTTCACATATTTAAAAGAATTCTAGAAATTAAATCTCTATGAAAATTATTATAGAACTTTTAATATCATGGCAAAAAATGATGGCAAAAAATTCCCCCTGCACATGCTGTCAGTATCAATGACTGAAATGGCTGAGGTCTAGATGCAGAATGCTTAATGCTGGTTAATATATCCAAATTAGCCCAAATTACCCTTTTTTCACACTATTTAAAAGCCTAATGGTATTCCAGTGGTTAGAGAACTCAGAATCCAGTGACATGTTTTGACCTTGTATAAAACACTTGAGTATTCTTATCAGTAATGGGTGTCCCTGTCAATAAAATTGTGTTAAAAATATTTTCTGTACAGTGAGTAAAGTACATTTTTTGTAGGTTTGCATAAGTTGTATTACATTCATTAAGTATACCTTTCATTTAATTATGTCCTTCTTTAATTTTTCAATTTTACTCTTTGAATATGTAAATATCTGTATTTATATTGCATATAATAATTGTAATTAATATATAATATTATATATATGAAGATACATTACAAGTTCTTATGTAATTATGCATATGTAACATTTATACAATATACAAGTATATAAAATTAGACTTTTTACATGGCAAAAATAAATATTGGACAGATTTGTTTTTTTAATGTTTCATACACTGCTATATACTTTTATCTGCTTACAGTATGAACTTTTAAGTAGTATTATAGAGTGGGGTTTTTAAAGCTTAAACTGATGTCAGAGGAAGATTCCAGCTCCTAAATATTTTACCTCATTACAACCTAGTGTTCTGCTAAATGAAAATTTCATGGACTGCTTTCCAATATGCTCAATTATTGCACATGATTTAGTGACATTTGCTGTGAATATAGCTGTCTGCTGACTAGATTAACCCCCAACTTTAAATAGCATAGCAAGCTAATTTTTACTGATCGCATACTTTTCTTTACCTGCAGAATTGGACTGGCTTAGTAACCCAAGCTTCTCTACGGAAGATGCACTATTACTGCATCAGCGCACTACAGAAGTTGCAAATCTCATCCCTGAAAAATCGCCACTAATAAGGTAGACTATACTTCAATATCTTTTAAAATAGCCTCTTTCTTTAGTCCTACTTATCTTTTGTTATGTGAGACCAAAATCAGGACCTTTTAGGGCTGCTTTTCATACCACTGTTCAGTATTTAGCCTGGAGAAAAGAGGCTGAGAGAAGACCTTATCTCTCTCTACAATTACCTGGAAGGAGGTTATAGCGAGGTGGGTGTCGGTCTCTTTTCCCAACTAATAAGCAATAAGACAAGAGGAAATGGCCTCAAGTTCCGCCAGGGTGCTTAGGGACATGAATTACTGCTGGACTTGGCAGTGCTAGGTTAACAGTTGGACTTGGTGATCATAGAATCATAGAATAGTTTGGGTTGGAAGGGACCTTTAAAGGTCACCTAGTCCAAACCCCCTGCAATCAGCAGGGGCATCTTCAACTAGATCAGGTTGCTCAGAGCCCTGTCCGACCTGACCTTGAATGTTTCCAGGGATGGGGCATCTACCACCTCTCTGGGAAACCTGTCCCACTGTCTCACCACCCTTACTGTGAAAAATTTCTTCCCTATATCGAGTCTAAATCTGCCCTCTTTTAGTTTAAAACCATTGCCCCTTGTCCTATTGCAACAGGCCCTACTAAAAAGTCTGTCCCCATTTTTCTTATAAGCCCCCTCTGAGTACTGGAAGGCTGCAGTAAGGTCTCTCCAGAGCCTTCTCTTCTCCCAGCGCTCTCAGTCTGTCCTCACAGGAGAGGTGTTCCCCTCTGATCATTTTTGTGGCTCTCCTCGGGACCCTCTCCAACAGATCCATGTCTTTCCTGGGCTGAGGGCTCCAGAGCTGGACACAGTACTGCAGGTAGGGGGCTCCCCAGAGGGGAGTAGAGGGGCAGAATCACCTCCCTCAGCCTGCTGGCCACACTGCTTACAATGCAGCCCAGGATATGGTTGGCCTTCTGGGCTGTGAGCGCACATTGCCAGCTCATGTCCAGCTTTTCATCCGCCAGTACCCCCAAGTCCTTCTTAGCAGGGCTGCTCTCAATCCCTTCATTCCTCAGCCTGTATTGCTATCGGGGTTTGCCCCAACCTGCCCTTTGCCTTGTTGAACCTCATGAGGTTCACATGGGCCCACTCCTTAAGCTTGTCCAGGTCCCTCTGGATGGCATCCTGTCCCTCAGGTGTGTCAGCTGCACCACTCAGCAGTGGTGTCCTCGATCCCACTGTCTTAAAGGTCTTTTCCAACCTAAATGATTCTATGATTGTATGATTTAAAAAGGCTTGAACCGAGCCATGTGTATAAGTATGAATAATGCTTCCACATCCTTTAACTTAAAATAATGAGAAATTATATTTATGCAATTACATTCCCATTTTCTTTTTTGCACAACTGCATTTAAATCATTGTTATTTCAGAATGGAAAGGGAAATGAGTGATCATGATTTTTCATTAGCTTTTGAATGTCCTAAGTGACCCTTGAAATAATGTGAAGATTAAGCATCATCATTGTGATTTCTCTGTGAAAACCCATTCAATCAGCCATTTCATAGTCAAGTGTTTTACTTTTTAAAAACAAGTTGAAGATGTGAATTAATGAAATACTACATGCTTCAAGTTGTGCGGCTGTGTAGAACATGCTGATCACTGAAAAAGATGATACATTCATTTAGAAAAATGAACTTTAAGCAGCTATATTTGCTGAAGAACTAGTTTTAATACCTTCACTAGAATAGTTGCTATACTTGGCATATCTACACTATTATTAGCATTTAATAATTAATGGGATCAACTTGCAGTTGCCAAGTTAAAAAACTTAGTCACTTTTTATTTGATACAAACTGATGTGTTTACGATGTCTGTGGGTAGTCATGATAGAGAATGTGTATCTGAATATATAGAGTGATACTATATGGAATAGTGATACTGTATAGAATGTGATAAAAGTGCTACTATATAGAATATAGTAACAATCACAGCTGAATACATCTTTTTGTGTATTTATTCTTATATTTACATGTTTTGTGTGATTGAAATGCAGTCACCGATGTGTTTATCAGTCATATATTCTGCTTATATTTTTTCAGATCTTTTCAGGACTTTAATGTAATAAAATTAAGGAATTTAAAAATTACCATTCAGGTAGAATGACATAGCAAACCCACCATATTTAATCAATCTTTGAAACAGAATTAGTAAAAAAAACAGAGAAATGTTTGATCTTTTTGCCTATTACTAGGGTACATTCTCAGTTCAATAAAAACTAATTACTCCAACATAGTTGGTGGGGTTTTGGGGTTTTTTTGGGGGGTTTTATTTTTTTGGGGGGGAGCATGTGTTTGTTTTAAAGGCCTGCTTTTAATGGTTCTCCCATGGCTTTTTTTTTTCTTGTTGCCTTTAAATAAATTTTGTAAGGTTTGGGGTTTTTTTTGAGGCGCCTTGCTTCTGAAATGCTGCATTTTCTTTTATTGACATATTAGCAATACTGAGACTTGTCACTCCTTTTATTGAAACATTCTAGAAAAACTGTTTAAAAAGAGCTTGTGCTTTAATTAAGGATTAGAGAAGACTTCCATTATTTCAGTTGATTACTAAGTATGGGAGTGTATGTACAATAATACACGTGTTTTGCCAAGACTATCTGTCCTTTGTGTGGTCTCTCAGTCAGTCAGTTGTTTGTTGCATGTAATGTTTGTTACTACATTGTATTATCTGATAACATTAATTCAGTAATCATCAAAAATTCTTCATTGATTGGTGAGTTTTGAATTTCTAATCTGGAATTGATTTTAAAAGTGTGTTTTTGATATTTCATATGTAAGTCATAAAGAAGGAAAAAAAGTGCAGACTTTTTTCTTTTGGAGGCCACCCTGAAAGATTTCTCATCCCTTTAGCTTGACCTAAGTTGTCTTAGCAAAGTTAGGAAATATTACCAGCTCATTCATTTTCTTTAATTTGTCGATGATAACAGATAGATATTTATAGGGATCACACATCAAAATGCCTTTGACAATTAAAACTTTAAGAATGGTTGTCAGTAATTGCAGCAGCTGAAAAAATATAGTTGTTACTTAATACAGATTTATATCACTTTCACTGTATGTGTTGCTGCTAACTCTCTTCTCCAAAAATAAAGGTAAAGGGTAAAATGATTCTGAACTTTCTTATGACAGTATTTCTTTACAGTTTTACTACTTAGATGTATAGGTATATATATACTTGTTTCCAAGCAGGACTACTTCAAGATCAGAGTTGTCAGCAGAAGGTGATACAGATGAGAGTCTGAAACAGTCAAGTAAGAAAAGGAAAAAGAAAAAGAAAAAACATCACCACTATAAGAAGACAAAAAAGAAAACTAAAGGGGACTCCAGTAGCAGCGAATCAGACCTGGACACTAAGCACATCAAGGACAAAGCCGCAGGAAGTGGCAGAAATCACGAAAAGGAAGCAGCAGCAAAGTATGTGTTTATTAATACTATGCAAGATCTAAATTCATTGTGGTTTTGTACTTGTCTTCAACTTTATGAATGAAATTCTGACCACTGGTGGGTCTTTTTTTCTAAGCTGTATATGACTAAACCTGCATTCAAAGCAATGAAAATAAAATTAGAACCACTTGTTTAATCATATTTGAAAAAGGGTAACTAAAATACTCTGTGAAGTACTGTTCTGCAGAGCAAAGCATGGTATGGTGATAACAAAATATATTTTTAAAGACGTGTAGAGGCTTACGTTGAGTTTTTGTAAGCATGTTGTTTCCCTTTGTGGATCTTCTTTTGGGAGAGTTTGGGGAGGAATGGTGTTAAACATTAGTCTTAATTAGTGCAGAAGTCTTAATATACAGCTGGGTTTGTGTGTAATATAACTTCCTCCTCACAGACTTAACATTTCCTTTTTTTCATATTATGACAAAGTTTGTTGTATGATTTAACGTTTCTTTTATGTCCAGCCATTTATTGCTCTATGGTGTGTGCTTCATACTTCTTGCTCATGGTACATCTAGATGGGTATCGGAACAACTGAAATTGTTTTGCTAGGTGTTTTTTGTTAATTCCAGGAGCTCTAAAGTACTGTGTAATTAGTGGAGGTGTCATTTGTTTTTATGGAACAAGAAAATAGATCTGGAGTGACTAGCATCATCTCAGAGCAGTAAAAGAGGTTCTGTGAATGCACGGAGTTTGGCATACTGAGCTCTGCTTTTCTCAGTCTGTTGGGTTTTGATCATTTAATTTAAAGGGGCTCAATCTAACTGGCTGTGTAAGTCACCTTTCCCTGTTTCTTATCATGTTTGCTAATTTGAACATCCATTTTGCCTCTCTCTGATTCCCTAGTTCCTGTTTTTTTCTTTAGTATCAGCAGCTCTGGCTCTAATTCACAGCATTGCAGCTGCTCCTGGGGACAGAGTGAGGATTTGGTGACATGAATTGTTACAGCTGGATGTAGTCCAGGAAGTCCTTGACTCTCCCCCGATTTACTACTTTTCTCAAGGCAGATTAACCAGGTGCTGAGAGCACAGGCTTGTGAGCATGTGTCTATGCCAAGGGATCTTGACACTGTCTCCCTGTGGAAGAATGGCAGTGGTACTGGAGGTATTGTCTGATGCCTCTAGCCACACTCAACTCCTCCCTTACGAAGACACTGTTGTTGGCTAGTGGTGCCTAAGGCTTATTTGGCTGTGAGGAAGCACAGTGAAAATCACTCGGCTGTGAAGACCATTCTGCTCTGCCCAGTCACTCATGTCTTTGCTGAGGGTGTCTGGGCTGGATGGAATGGACTTACATGCTGAACCTGGTTCATCAGCTGTTTGTCAGACTGGGCCAGCTAGCCAGTGCTTTGCCCAAATGAAAGGGTTGAAGTTCTTTCAGAGTGTCTATTTTTACTTCTTTCCATAAATTGTTGATACTGAGAGAATATTGAGTTGTCAGTAGACTGTTTTTGAAACCTGAACCACGGAATTGCTCTAAATGCAATAGGTCTTGTGAAATTGTAGAAAGCTTCTCAAGGCTATAAAACTCATTTACTAAGTTACGTGTTTACATACATACTTACATGAATTCAGATTGGAAGCTCATAGTTGTCTACATTTGGAGGCAGGTGGCATTTCCACTTAAGTTCATTTGTATGACTAATCCATAAACCACTCCAATGCACACTGTTTTATCAATTGCATGGGTATAACTACAGCTAATCAACATAATCCTCTTTTTCTTAATTGTAGCATCCTACTAAGACAAAAGTAAACTTTAGAAGTAGCAATATATGGCTTTTAGATTACAGCTTGCCAAGTAATTGATTGGTTAAATCTGGTTATTACCTTTGATAATTGTAAATCCAATTTATGGAAGTGCAAGGAGTGCTTGTGTTTTGTTTCAATGGTCCTATTAGTGTTTCTAGTTCTTTTTTTCTGAGTGTGTGACTGACTTTGCAATAATAGATCATGTACCATGACTTTGAGTAAATTAAATTATTATGAACTACAGAAATGTAATGTTTCCCAGGTTTTGTAAATGCTGAATATGTGCACAAATGATGAGAATATACTCCTCCTTTTCTGCAGTCTAGATAAGAAAACGTCAAATCTTACCAGCAATCGCTCTGTTTGGCTTGATGATATCCAGGCTTTCACAGCAGAAACCTTCAGAATAGACAAGAAACCAGACCCTGCAAACTGGGCCTACAAATCCCTATATCGAGGGGATATAGCAAGGTACAATATGTTGGTTTCTATTAGTACTCAAATTACCACAGAGTCACTATCTCAAAATTCACTAACTTGAGTCTGGCTGTGAAATTTTTATGTAGAAGATGAAAGTAAGATAACTGAATAGTTTATTTCAAAATTTGACTTTACATTGGGCATAAATATTTTAAAGGGCAAAAGATGCCATGAAATAATATAAAGTGCATGACTAATTTTTTTAAAAACATTCTCTGTGCAGTATATACTGCAGGCATGTGAACTTGTAGAACTGCCATCTGGAGGTGGCAGCATGGGACAGATTCAAAAGCATGATTTTGAGGTCAGAAATCCCAGGTTCTGTGTTAGATATCTTTGGGCAAGTGCCCCTTTTGATCTCTGTTGTTTCATTTCTGCATCTGAAAGGGAAATGGAGGTACTGACTATTTCATACTAGATTTGTCAAAAGGTTTACTTACTGGACTAGTTTTACATCATTGCAAAAAAACCCCATGCAGGTACTTTCTTAGCAAACAGATTCTGTGTTAGATCACACAGACATTGTACCAAAGGGTATCTTAAGCATTGCTACATTTCAAATGTGTATAGATGAAATTGCATTTTCAACATTCTTAGTGGGTTACTGGCACTATGATGACCAGCATTAATAGAGAAACCTGTCTAAAGCAGCCTACGCTGTGCTTGGGCATTATGTATGTACACTTCTTGATGTTCTCAAGGAAAATTATTTACTAGATATGAAAAGTAATTATTTGTGGAGGAGGGAGGATTTCTGGGTTTTATTTTTGTAGTGTGTATACCTTTGCAGTAAAATAGCCTGGTTACAATCCATTCCAATTTTCTGCCACCTTTGGATTGTCAGCTATTGTTTGAGATCAGAAGTGTTATTTTAGCAATGCACGTCAATACATCTGCCACTGAAATGACATTTCTTGGTAATATTTTAAGATAGTATTTTCTTTTTGTGGTGGGTTGACCTTGGGTGGATGCCAGGTGTTCCCAAAGCTGCTCAATCACTCCCCTCCTCAGCTGGTCAAGGGAGAGAAAATATATTGAAAAGCTTGTGGGTTGAGATAAAGACAGGGAGAGATCACTCACCAATTGCTGTCACGGGCAAACCAGACTCGACTTGGGGAAAATGAATTTTAATTTATTACCAATCAAATCAGAGTAGGGTAATGAGAAAACCAAATCTTAAAACACCTTCCCCCCACCCCTCCCTTCTTCCTGGGCTCAACTTTACTCCCAATTTTTTCTGCCTCGTCCCCTTCCAGTGGTGCAGTGGGATGGGGATGGGGGTTGTGGTCAGTTCATCACGTTGTCTCTGCTCTTCCTTCCTCCTCAGGGGGAGGACTCCTCACACTCTTCCCCTGCTCCAGCCTGGGGTCCCTCCCATGGGAGACTGTTCTCCACAAACTTCTCCAACATGAGTCCTTCCCACAGGCTGCAGTTCCTTACGATCTGCTCTAGCATGGGTCCCCCACAGGGTCACAGGTCCTGCCAGCAAACCTGCTTCAGCCTGGGCTCCTCTCTCCGCAGGTCCACAGGTCCTGCCAGGAGCCTGCTCCAGCTCAGGCTTCCCATGGGGTCACAGCCTGCTTTGGGCATCCCCCAGGTGTGGCGTCCTCTGTGGGCTGCAGGTGGAGATCTGCTCCACTATGGAGCTCCATGGGCTGCAGGGGCACAGCCGGCCTCACCATGGTCTTCGCCAGGGGCTGCAGGGGAATCTCTGCTCTGGAGCACCTCCTCCCCTCCTTTGCTGACCTTGGTGTCTGCAGAGCTGTTTCTCTCACGTTCTCGCTCCTCCCTCCAGCTGCAGTTACGCGGGTTTTTTTCCCCTGACAGAGGTGCTACCGCTGTCCCTGATGTGCTCAGCCTTGGCCAGCAGCAGGTCCATCTTGGAGCCAGCTGGCACCGGCTCTGTTGGACATAGGGGAAGCTTCTACCAGCTGCTCACAGAAGCCCCCCCCCATAGCCCCCCTGCTATGAAAACCTTGCTACGCAGACCCGATACACCTTTCTTAATCCGTAGGATTATTGTGGCCTTTATGAACTTGGTCTGTCTTCTTCCTCCCCACTGCCCACTTCTTGGCATATAAAATGGGTAGAGGCTTAGGGATATAGAAAGATATTACTGGACTGAGCTACTGGTGTCTGATTTTTCAGTTTAAAATGATCTAATCTAAATAGTCTTAAATAATGCTGTCGTTCTTTCTCCACATTTGTCTGCGTGGCTTAAAATGATAGGATGAAATAAATTTTTCTTCTGCTGAGTATGACAGATATTGTTGAACTCAGAGGAAGCTTGGTATAATAAAAGTTGTGATGGCACTGAAAAAATATGTAAATTTAAGTCTTAAATAAGGAGAAAGTTACCAAGTTCTTACACTTTTGAAGGTCTATGCAGTATTTGGGTTAATTTGGATTAAAGTACTTCCATGCTTTCTTTCAAAAAGGAGGTATCTTTTTTTAACCTGTATTTTAGAAGATGCTTAATTATATTTTTCGTTCTAAGATACAAAAGAAGAGGAGAGTCCTGTCTTGGCATAGATGCAAAGAAACAATGTATAACTTGGGACAGTTCTGCATCAAAAAGGAAGCAATTACAGAGTCGACCTGAGCGCTACTTCACAAAGAACAATGTGAAGATGCTGAACACGGATGGGATTCCTGTTTGCAATAAGAGTTCTACATCTGACCCAACTGCTTTTATACCAGTTTTCCAAATGGAAACTGATGATCCTTCCAACACAACGGAGGTAAATCCTCTTGGGGTTTATGATCCATCAACTACAGTGTGGCTACAAGGAAAAGGGTGCAAGAGTGCAGACCACGAGCATGTAAATACGCAGCAAACAGTTCAAGAGCCTGGGATAAACATTAACTCCATTCTAATGACAAAAGTGGAAGAACATAACAAGAAAGTCAGAGAAAACCCAAGAGATATTAATGCTTGGATGGAATTTGTTTCTTTTCAGGTATGTGTTCTGACAGACCTGGTTGCTTATTATAAGTAATAAATAAAGAACGAGCTGTTAATTCATCTTCACAAACATCGGCATTCTTGTGATTCTAGTGATGATTCTTACTAATGTTGTAATAATTTTTCTTCTTGTTTTAAGGATGAATTAATGAGAGGACCTAGCCCATATGACAGTAAGGGAGAGCAGGAAGTAAAAAGAAAATCACTGAAGTTTATCTTAGAAAAGAAGCTGGCTATTCTAGAGAGGGCAATTGAGAGCAATCCAGGTAACGTTGATCTGAAACTTGCCAGGCTGAAGCTTTGCACAGAATTCTGGGAACCACCAGCTTTGATCAAAGAATGGCAGAAGCTAATTTTCTTACATCCCAATAATGCGGAGCTGTGGAAGAAATATCTCCTGTTCTGTCAAAGTCAGTTCACTACCTTCTCTGTTTCAAAAATCAATAGTCTTTATGGAAAATGTTTGACTACATTGGCAGCTGTAAAGGATGGCAGCATGGTATCACATCCTCTACTGCCTGGCACAGAAGAAGCTATGCTAGGTAAGGTTCTTTCTATTTCATGTTATGGTCAGAATGGTCTTTGTAGGAGTTGACTACATTCTTTATAAGAATAGACTTTCCTATGTATTACAGGAAGTTTTTATTTTCTTCAAAATGCCAGGCATCATGATTTTTAGCTGAGAATTAAAGCAGATATTCCAACCAAATACAGATATAGCAGATGCTTTTCTTCCCCAAGAGAATTTGTGGTATAACATCCAGTAAAGTCTAATGTGCTGAGCAGTTTGCAGTACAAATGGCCGTTGGCTGCAATTCTCCAATCGTGACAAGAGACGTGCTTTATCTTTGCAAAATATTTATTAAAAAAAAAAGGTTGGCTTGTGAAAGAAACAATTTTCTCCTTTTCAGAAGTTTTATAGTTAATTACTTTAATCCAGAAAAGAGAAGGGATATGGGAAATCTGGAGTGAGTTTTCTTGAGCATCACAGTTCATAGATGGAGAATTCTAAACTGTAATACCATGTGACCATGCCTTTTGTATTAATTGTATGCATATATCTACCACTTATTAACCCTGGAAGGAAAACTAGTCAGATGGTTAGGATGCTGGACTGGATCCAGGGAAGAAACAAGTTCATGCTCAGTTCTGGCATGGGCTTTAAATTTATTTGGAGCTAAACGACTTAACCTATCCCATTTTAATTTTGCTTCTCTACTTTCGGAGGTCATTGTGATTATTAATCTATAAATACCTTGAGGAGGGGGAAATTAGTGTCGCCATGAATATGTTTTTGTTTCTTTTTTTTTCCTTTTAAAATTTGTTTTCAATCTAGAGGAGAGTGTTATGAAGCAGTCCACATTTCTTCATGTGTGGCACAGTCCAAGGAACCTCTTATTTTTATCCAAGTCCTGTAACTGCTGTTTGAGCAATGATGCTGTTAATGCAATATCCAGTCTGGATTTATAGATTGAGATGCTGGATTACAAATTAGTTTCAGGTGTTCAGATCTCTTATGGTTCTCTGTTGATCCATCTTGGATCAAGCACTGGAAAAGATGCTGTAAAGGAAAAATCCTGTGCTGGCAGGTGGATACTGTACTGCCTAATAGCTTCTAATTGCTTCTACTGTCTCTGATTTCCAACACTCCAGTCTCTTTGTATACTAACCGCAATGAATGATTCTCAGGACAAATGTTTTATTCACTATCTATTTTTTTAAAACAGGAAGGTATTCCTTTTTTTTTTTTCCTGCACAGAACATACTTGGCTCATTAAATACTATTTGTCAAGTGCTGTGAGACATTTTACTTTTTTTAATGGAGTTCCTTTAACTTGTTGACTATATTAGATTGACATTTTTCAAAATACTGGTTTCCTGGCAATGTCTATAGATAGGTTAAAATGAAAATGAACTCAACTTACTTTGTGTTTCCGTTCCATTTTTACTGTCTTCTTGTTCTGTATTAGACTCAAGTGATTTGTTTATGAACACTGTTGAGGGCTTTGAGTTTGGGGGTTTTTTACCCCTGTTTTTTTTCCCCCTTTGGAATTCAAATGATAGGAGTGGAGAAATTTCCAGAGGGGAGACTTATTGATCTGAGGGTTTGGGTTTTTTTAGTGACTCAACTATCAAATTCTTGAGTTTGGATTTGAACTGTCAAGTGTATTTACTGGGAACATTACCAAATTGTTTGTTAAGAGAAATATACAAAGAGTTTCACAAATAATTATGAGGTGAGCAGCAGTGTAGATGTATGCTAGGCTTGTATCTTCAACCTTTAACCTTTGCTAATGACAAAGTGTAAGCTAATTTTGAATAGCAGTGCACCATGCCATCTAGTGTTCAATTCAGTATGCAGTACTATCAGCTTGGAAATAGGTGGGTGTGTTTTTAAAAGATGAAATTTAAGCAAGCCATTAAAAATTTAAAATTATAGATCAGTTTTTACTTAAATGTTGAAATAACAATTAGTACTATTTTAAATTTACTAGGAACTGTTAATATAAGGTAGATAAAGGTGAGCATTTTCAAATTTTGCTGTGGAAAGGGAGTTCTGTTTTTCAAATTATACTTATTGGCTGGGGAGAAACATCCTTATCTTTTAGGTCAGTTCAGCTGCAGAAGTATCTTAGCAACATGGACTCTGCTGTTTTCAGCTTTTACCACAAAGAAAATGCTGATATTTGCATTTCTTCAAATACCGTTTTCTTTTTTATCATTCAGAAAATGTTATGCTATAATTTATTTTTGACTCCGGTTTGGCAGCAAGTCCTGATGAGATATTCTATGCATTCAGGCTATTTTCATCCAAGTTCATCTGTTTGAAGCTGAGAAACTAGGAAAGGACAACTTTTTCAGTGTCAGTTGGACACAGTGCCTAAATTGTTTAAAATACTTTGGAAGATTCTATTATATACTTAAGAATACTTTTTATTGTATAAATATTTACAGAAGTCTCAGAGTCTTTATTATCAGAAACAGTCATTGACTTTGCAAAATTAGGTGAAATGTGTAGTTTGTATATTCTAACTGAATTCAAGTTTTTATGTGCACACATGTGATGTAAATCTGAGTACAGCTAAAAGGAGTAAACAATTTGCCACTTCTTAGTACTAAAACAGAGGATGATAATTGGAAACAATTGAAGCCAACCTGTGTTGTTACATGTGTATATCTAGACAAATATTTTGATTGTTCAAAACCCTCCAAAGTCAACGTATTTAGTGAAGAAATAATAGTTTTTGAAGAACCATTTTCAAAACTGTCAATGATTTATTTTAATCTTGACTTATGGATTTTGGGTGTTTTTTGCAAGACAGTTAAGACTGTAATTTAAAGCAATTTGATTTTTGAACAGCCACTGTTTTGTTAAGACTTGACTGTAATTTGGAGTGATAGAATAACTCTGAAATGTCCTTGAACTGCCTAGTAGTAGAGGTGTTTATAATACCTGTTACTTCTCCAGCCCTTTCATTTAAGACTCTCATTGCAAATACATGAATAGAAAAACTGGGGCTTTGCTTCCCTTCTTAAGCTGAGACTTAAGGCTCAGTGTGTGGTAGGGATATGTCAGTGATTACAGAAATAATTTGTTGAAGAGCAAGGGATAGGACTCCTCTACTTCCAAGCAGTAACACTTTTGTCCAAAAGACTGGACTTCTCTTAACTGAGTTCTTATATAGAGGAAAAGAAAATAGGAGTGATAGTTAGAATGAAAACAGTGTATTACCAACATATTACCAATGTAACAGTCTCATGCAAAAATGGGGCAAAAAGGATTTTTGTTGCAATCACTTACAATTCACACAGTAATAATGCCCATCATCTTCAAAGAGGGCTGTGACCCACTCTGACATACGCTGGATGAACAGAAGCTGGGACCATTGCGTATAACTTTTATTCATCAACAAGGACAGTGCGTGTATGGCATGAATAAAAAGTCATGTCTTTGGTGCATTTAAAGTGGGAGGTCTTAATTAAACTACAACAGTTTTCACGTGTGTTTTTGCTAGTTACTCCCAGTGTTTTGGATTTTGATACTATTACAGAACAATTATGCTCTACAGCACTTCATGTATGTCTTTTGTATATTTGTCGGCTGTAATAAAATACTTTGCAACAAAACTTATTTGAAATATTAAAGTTTTATCTTCTTTACTTTACAGCTATATTTATTCAGCAGTGCCACTTTCTGAGACAGGCTGGCCATTCTGAGAAGGCAGTGTCTTTGTTTCAGGCGCTGATTGACTTCACCTTCTTTAAACCTGACAGTGTGAAAGATCTGCCAACAAGGGGACAGGTAGCAATTTCCATTTAAATGGGTGAATATCCTTGTGCATTACCGAGAATGCTGTAGCAGAAAAATGTTGGTGAATTTTTAAAGATATAGGGAAATATTTTGAATGACAACTTACTTTGCAGTTTTTCAAGGTGATGCTTGCATTGGAAAAATGGTTGTGGGTCCTCTGGAACTACATGCCAAATGGCTGCTTCTATTCTTTATAATAGAAGTGTGATAACCAGTCATTTCATGTCTTCTTTTTTACTAATTAAAGATGGAAAAAAATGAGCTGGCTGACCAATGTCTCTGTCTAGTTGGCACTTCCCCTGCTTGTTTTCCCCAAAACTGCTGTTGTTTTGTTACTTTTGATGGAGAAAGCTGATAGGACCTAAAATCTCTTTCTGTTCTAGACAGTTCTTGCAAATATTTCTTAGGTTCTCTGTTACCTGTTGTTTTCGGTAATTCTTTGACAGCTACATTAGGAGCAACTTCATGCTTTGAAGTATCTTTTATTTGATCCATGAGAGTCCATTCAGCTTGTTCTGTTAAAGTACTAAATCACTTTTTCCACTTGATTTGCTCAGGACAGTGTTGGGCATGCACCCCAATAATAATCAAGAAGTTAATATTTAGAGGGGGCTGTTGCCAGTGTGGCATCATCCCACTGAGTTGTTGGGAGATGCTTCCTTTTTAATGAGTGGTAGAGAGGGCCACCAGTTAGGCAACTGGGCTACCGTAGAAGACAGAAATTGAATTTCGTTCTATTACCTCACCACCTTCCCCAGCAACCACTACTAAGGCTCCATTTTTTGCTCTCTAGATTAATGAAGTTACCCATCAGTGGATCAATCTTGTAGTTTAAATAGTAGCGGAGTCCTCTTAAAGAGACAAAAGTTTAGAGTTCAATCATAATTATCATTCAGGATGGGAGATTTGGTATATTTATACAGGTAAAACTCGAGTTATACTTCCAATCATTTGAAAAACTGCAAGATTATCTGTAGTGTTTAAGAAACTCGTAAGAAAGCAGGATAGAAAGGCACCTCAATTTAAAAGGACAGTGTTTAGGTTGGAAAGTGCAGTTCTTGAAAATAGGAAAATGCCAAATTTACAGCTGATTGCCCATTCTGCCCTCTTACCAAAGCATTATGACTCAATCTTGAATGACTTGTTTTCATACTGTTTTCACAGTTCAGTTTCTCACTCAGAGCAAAGAATAAATCCATGAGGAGCAGAATTAGATTTTGAAATTATTGTAAGCCCTGCATTTTCTGATATGTTGATGCTTGATTTTTCTAGAGTAAATTTTATTGTTAATATTTGTATTAACAGTCACATCTCCTTGCTCAAGCCAAGTTTTGGTACACAGCAGAAGCATGTAATAGGAGAGAGACAGTCATTAGGGCTAAGTATACACAAAGCAGGGGGGCTAACTGATGAGTCTAAAAGTGATAGACTGCATACAGGGAATGACAAAATCAGGGCTGGAACCCTGGACTTCTGATTTGCTGCAAAGTGCCCTGAAGTTGTTGACCACCCTGAAACCTCAGAGGTGAAAGGCCTTGCTGATCTTTTTCTCTTGTCCTCAATCCAGTCATATTTATGTCAAACAGTAACATTTTGATTTGACCATAGGTGTATGATTGTCTGAATTAACATCCCATTAGCCAAATTCTTTATGGTCCCATGGAAGACAGGAGAGAGAGGAGATTTGGTTTCTGAAAGCCACATCTTGGGGACTTTGGATCCTTCTTTTTGAAGGTTCTGTATAGGACATTTGGCACAAAAGTCTTTTGCTTTCTTTAAAGCCTCATACCTTTTAAAAACACTCTTTACTTTGATGAGAAGAGCTGATGACAGTCCTGCTGTGCCACAGGCATAATTGAAGTACTCAGTTGTTCTTGCTAATTCTTCAGCTAACTAACAAAGTCTTCAGATTACGGAAGTTGCACCCAGATCAGTGATTGTAGGTTTGGAAAATGTAAGTTGACCCAGGTAGTGTCTGTACAACAGCAAAAATGATTTTTCTATATGTTTTATTTTGGTTCCCCCTGCCAAAAACAACAGGTGGAATTCTTTGAACCCTTTTGGGATAGTGGAGAACCACGAATTGGAGAAAAAGGAGCAAGAGGCTGGAACGCATGGATGCACCAACAAGAAAAGGGTGGCTGGATTGCTCTTAAGCCTGGTATGCTTATGTCCATATGTGTAGTTGTACATCCATGTGGTGTTCTAAGCTGTTTCTTCTCATGTTTTTGCATACAAGTTTTAAAAAATATTTACCAAGATTAAGATAAAGTATATCACACTTCACAGGGAAAAAGTATGTGCTGAGTGTTCTATGTACAATATTGTTTATGCAATATTGTTGTCCTTCCTAGAGATGAGAATTAGGGGAGAGGATGGCATATCCTCCACTCTGCACTAAAAAGGCTAAAGGTGCAAGTACTTGGTGGAAGGAAGCTACTTCCCTGAAGACCTTTTCATCAAGATTTTGTCATTCTATATTGGTGGACCAGATGGGATTATAGTATTAGGTGATAGTTGCCTCAAGGATTCCTAGCTTAATGATTCTCTCTCTAGAATCTGATTTCAGTTTCTTGTAGCAAATATATAGTAGAAATAGGAGGAAAACCTTCCGTTTCTCTTTGTGATGCAGAAAATGAAGGAATTGCATCTTCACATAGCTAGAGTACTTCTGGGTGAACAGGGATGCAGAAAACTCCTCCATGCTGCTTAGTCCCACCTTGTCTTCTGCTCTGCAGTGCTTCCCTTAATGTCAAGGGAAGCAATGTATCTGTTTCTCAGATACATCTTGGAGGGAAGCAGGGGGCTGGAAGGTGTCTGACCAAA